AGCATCAGCATATATTTTATTACAATTATCAGTATTTCCATTACTAGTTAGAAGTAGTAGTAGTATGAATATCATTATTATTATCCGTTACTATTAACTTATTTCAATTATCAATATTTCACTAATATTAGTATATATCAATTATCATTACTCTGTCCACGTTACCATCATCACCATCATTAATATCATCATTAATGTGATTTTAATGTAATCATCATTATCTAATATATTTTCATCATAATATTGTCATACCATAAATTGTCTATTTATTAATAACAAAAACTCTATCTATTGATTACCATTATTAGCTTAAATTATTTGTATCATTATAATATTTTTATTTTATTTCTATTGGTAATATTATTATTATTATTACTATACCCACATCATCATCGCCCTTATTAATATCATTATTAATAATGATAGTAGTAATATCATTATTATTATCATATTTTTTTCAACATAATATCATCCTGTTTTCGTCACATATCATCATTATCCCATTCATAAAAAATATAATCAATAATAATAATAAACAAAAAATATAATAAAAATGTGTATATATATAATAGATAAATAAATGACTACCATTCTCTTTCTCATATGACAGGTCGGTTGACATATGACAAGCTGACAGACGGGAGATATTAGTTAACTGGCAACTGACTGGAATATGAAGGCTGGCAATGGGTTTATGACAGCATGACAGACTTGGCAAGTTTGGTCGTTGGATGACAGATTGACAGGACAGTGGTGTCATGGTTTATATAAGGAAAATGGTGATTGACAGGGTAGTGATGTCATGATGTCAGGTTGGCATACCGGTTGACTGATGAGACTGACAGGGTATATGGCATAAGTATTTGACAGTTGACAATGCTGAGGTGATTGACAGCAGGTTAATGGTGATAATAAATTGAAATGGAACAAAGGGTCTTTGGGCATTTGGCTTTCGGAATAATAATAATAATATAATATAATAAATAATATGATAATAATAATAATAATAATGATAATAAATAATAATAAATAATAATAATAATAAAAAATTCGAGGAAATAGAATAAATAAGAAAAAGTAATAATAATGATGACGATAATAATAATGATAATAGTGAAAGCAATAATAATAACAATAATAATGATAAAAGCAATGATGATAAGAATAAGAATAAACATAATAATAATAATAATAATGGTAATAATAATAAAAGTAATAATGATAATACATAATAATGCAAACATTAATAAATAATAAATAATAATAACAATAATAATAATTAATAATATAATATAATAAAAGTAATAATGCTGATAATTAATAAAATAATAATAATTAATAATAATAATAATAATAATAATAAAATAATTAATAAAATAATAATAATAACGATAATAATAGTAATAATGATGATAATGATAAAAAAAGTAATGAAAATGATAATAATGATAATAATAATAATAATAACGATAATAATAATAGTAATAATGATGATAATGATAATAAGAATAATGAAAATGATAATAATAATAATAACGATAATGATAATAGTAATAACAACAACAACAATAAAGTAGAGCAACATTCTCTCAGCCAAACAAAGTGTAATTTCTTTATCACTAATTGAATAATTATAATGTGAAAATTGTCTTTTTTTCTTCTTTTCTTCTTCTTCTTCTTCTTCTTCTTCTTCATCTTCCCTTGCTGATTCTTTTTTTAGGGAATTAGGAAGAACAGGAAGGTCTGATCAGTATCCCATGATAAATGATAAAGTTTTTCATGATCAGTGTTATTGGTGTTATCACTATTATCATTATTATCGCTTCCATTGGCATTACCATCATAATTACAGTCCTCATCACTATCGTAATTATCATTATTAACATCATTATTATCATTATCATTGTTATTATCATTATTATTATTATATTATATTATTATTATTATATTATTATCATTATTATTATTATTTCATATTATTATCATTATTCATTATTTATCATTATTATCATCATCATCACTATATCATTATCACTGCTATGTATGTATCATCACCATATCATTATTATCATCAGTAACATTCGTATAATCATTGTTAGCAGCATTACTACCAATTAAAAAAAAATCCTAATTTTATGTATGAATTAATAACAATGTTCTGTTTTTTGTTTAGTTTTTTTTTTGTACTTTTCGGTAAATAATTCCAAAAAACGGACATGATATTCATAAAAAATAAGATATTCATCGCCAATATGCTGTTCGGATTGACATGTATTCCTCATGACATGGGTGGCCAACATGACAACAACACCATTTAAAAGACAAAACATAAACAAAAGAAAGGGGTAACGTGCTCACTTTTTTACTTGTTCACTCTGCAAATACATTAATTTCTAGAACAAACGGGAATTTCATGTCAGTAAATATAATCAGTTTTACAACAAACAAAAAGGCCTAACAAAAAAAATCAAGCAACAAATACACTACTTCTACGATAAACAAAAAGTTAGTGAAAGCATTTTGAAAATCGAAAAAAAAAAATCCGGATGAGAGGGTAAAGTACGTACATGCAAAAGTGGAAATGATACAGTGAATACACAAAGTTAGAGTTGAAAATCATACTTGTACTTATTAATTAATAATATTCCTAAATTTTGGAGATAAAAAAGATTCTGTGACGAGAGGGTAACGAGCGTACATGCAAGTGACTCGTATGTACGCTCGTTTCCCTCTGGCGATCCAGAGAGCAACGAAGATAAAAATTTGTACTTACTCTTCACTTTTGACTGATACATTGTCCTTCAGAGACTGTGAAGACGAGCAGCTGCTACCCATTGTTTGTCTTAATAAGCTTTCAGTAACCTCTTCTTTTTTACCACAAAACTTTTCTTCTTCTCGGTCTTCCAGAATCTGTAATTCTCTTTCCAATCTCAAACTACTAGAAACTGTGCTCACGTTTTTTTTCCTGAATTTCCCTTCAAATTTTCTATTTCTTTATTATTATTATCATATAGATTTCTGTTAGTATGTTTTTTTGTTTTATTTTTTAGGGGGATTCCTAACCCACAAAAAGGGGGGACACAAGCCTAAGTGAAATCGGACCGAATGAAACTAAAAAAATAAATAAAGGATCTGCTTATGCAACTCTTCCGGTCACGCCCTTCGGGGAAGCAGAAAACGAGACAGCACTTCCTCCCGGCGGGTTTTCGCATTCCTTGTGGGTCTGGTTTGGCGCCGAAATGGTCTTCGAATGCGCAGGGCCGTTGGCGAGGCGAGGCCACTTCAGGGGGATACGTGGTTGTTTTATATTTTCGGAAACTTGGGTAATGGCAATTCCGCTATAGTCTTCCAGTAATTTGTAATTCAGTTATCAGAAATTCGATTACCGACGATTGGGTGATTAGTAATCCGGTTATTAGCAATTCGGCAATTGGTTATTCAGTTATCAGTGATTCACTCTTCCTGGCGCGCCTCCGAACGCGGTTTTCCTGAATCGTCCTGCTGGTGGAAGCCCTCTTCGGGAAGCCGTTATTCCGAAGACGAGGAAGACCGTATATTGTCCCGTGAGTTCGCTGTTCCAGTGGCTGTAGCCTTCAGTGCATCTAAGACGCCAAAGCGAGTGTTGCTGTTTTGTTTTTTGTGTGTGTTTTGAGTCAAGGCTGTTGAGAAAAGCAGCTCCCTATTTTCAATGAGTCATTTTGGCACTTCGTTTCCCGTAATACTGATACGAATACTTGACAAGGCAAATCGAGAGAATTTCAGTATCGTGTAAACACCGATCGCATGAGCATCTCACACGTCACGAGTCCTCGAGGTTCCTCTCCGTCGCGCCGCGGTCAGGGCTTCGCGTTCACTCACTCTCATGCCAGGCCGGGCGGCGTCACATCCCGCTCGGCGTTACCATGATAGGACTGGTTCTCGAGGCTCCGGCGCGGGACTCTCCCCGGACTCTCTCTCTCTCTCTATCAACACTCGGCGGGTCGCTCCGTCGCTCTCGTGACGCTTCGTCCGCGCTGCGCCCGCGGCTCTGTCCTCATGTCTCTTCGGCGGGCGTGGGCGGCGCAGGAGGAGGAGGAGGAGCAGGGCGAGGCTGGGTCCCTGGCCGAGGGTCTGGGCGGCGTCGGCGTGGTCGGTCCGGCGGGGGCGAGGAACAACAGGTCGGCGTCGTCCGTGTCGGGCGGCTGCTCTCGTCACGGTGATCTGGCCCGGGCGGCGCTGGGCTCCGCTCGTCACTTCCAGCTGCTGCGTGTGCGTGGCGCGGGCGGGGGGCGGGGGGCGGAGGGGGGGGGCCCTGGCGACGTGGTCCTTGCGCAACTGGTGTCACGGCGCGCATTCAGCGCCGGGGGGGGGGGGGGCGGAGGGCACCGCATGCAGTCTCCGGGCGGCGTCCGTCTCCTCTACGTCAGCGGGAGCACGCACACGGCGGCGGGCGGGGCGCGTGGCCTGCGGGCAGGACCTCCGGGGGCGGAGGGACGCGCCGCGAGGAAGCCGTGGACCGGGCGAAGGGAAATACGTCGCGCTGCCGAGGGACTTCACCCGCCAGACGTCGAGGTCGTCCTCTTCCCTCGCGGGAGGGCCTGGCACGGGCGTCGACGCGGGCGGGAGAGGGCGTCCGGAGGAGCGCTCCGATCCCGGCGCCCGAACGCAGCCGTAGCCGAGGGCCGAGCGACAGTGGGCGCCCCGACCCAGACGAGTCTCGCCGCCCTCTGACCTCTGCCCGCTGCTTGTTGACCCTGACCTCGAGCGCGGCGCTCAGCGACCCGGCCGGGATCTTCTTTCAGCCTGATAACCCTTGACCCGACTCAGAGAGCCCTGTGACCTGCGTTTCGAGCCCCTGGAGCCGCAAGGCGAGGGGTGGGGGCGGGCGGCGGGGGCGCTGAACGACCTGCGAGTTTGGACGTGGCGTGGCGGGGATCCAGCTCATAGGGGGAGACCGCGCCCGCACTTCACGTCACGCACGGACTCGAGCTGCGCCTCTGGAAGGAGAGAAGAGCAGGTTAATGCCTGAGGAGGCGGCCGCCGGCGGCGACAAGGTGACCACAAACGAAAGATGGAATTGGCGAAAACGTCTTGCTGCCTTGGGGGGGGGAGGGAGGGGAGGGGGTTCTTGGGAGGAGAGGAAATGCAGGAAATGGGGTTGGAAAACATGAGACGAGCAGAAACGCACGCGCTCATACATACATACACACACACACTATATAATACTTATATAGACCTTGTACACACACACCTATACATGTCCACATCAGCGCACTCAAATACACACACAAATACACCAAGTCTTGTCAAGAATAATCGAATGTGAGATAAAATACCCAGAAATATGTCACAATTACCAGTGAATGATGAGGAAAATAATTATCATTATCATTATTACTTTCCTTTATCAGGGAGAATAACGATAATGAAATAAAACATCAAAATAAGAATGTTAATAATGAATAAAACCATAAGGAATAATAAAATGAATAGTATGGCAATGAGGAAAAGAAAAAAAGAGAAAGCAAAATAATTAGTAAAGAAAAACAACGAATAAAGAATAAATTATTGCTCTTTCTTCTCTTTTTGTCTTTCTTTTCACATGCGTCACTTTTTTTTCCTTTTCTTTACTGTTCTTTTCATTTTCCTCTATTTCCCCCTTTCATCGATTTTTTTCTTCCTCTTTGCACCTTTTTCATGACTTTTCTTTTTTTCTTTCTATTTTCTTTTATTCGCTTTCGTCTCTTTCTTGCTTTCTCTATTCGACATTTTTTTCCTCTACCTCTCTCTCTCTCATTCGTCGATATATATATAATTTTTTTCTATTTCATTTCGACGATTTTCCTTCGCAGTTTCGGCAAGTATGAATGCAATTTAAACTCAAAACACACTTAATTTGCAAATCCAAACCCACAAACGCCAACATGCACAAACACTCAAAATCTAAATAAAATAAATAAAATAAATCTAAATAAATAAAGAAATAAATCTGAATAAATAAATATTTGATATATTTATTTATTTGGAGTTATTTTTGCTGACGTTATTTTCAAAAAGGGACGCGTTCGATTCCGTGCGTCTTGGACTCAACGCGGCCGTCGGGACAGTAGGACGGGGCTTCGGTCACGCTCTGTGTGTGTGTGTGTGCTGTGTGTGTGTGTGTGTGTGGTGTGTGTGTGTGTGTGTGTGTGTGTGTGGTGTGTGTTGTGTGTGTTGTGTTGTGTTGTGTGTGTGTGTGTTGTGTGCATGTGTGGTGTGTTGTGCTGTTGTGTGTGTTTTTACATATGAGTTAGTGAGTGTCTGTGTCTTCGTGTATGTGTCTATTTGCGTATTTCGTGTGCCAATATACACGTACACCTGCATAACTACTCGCACGGAGATCCCTCAGCAAAAACCGCCTGGGGATCTCTGCGTCTGCCTCCGCCTGTGCCTCCTCCGGCTCGCTCCCTCCGCCCGCCACGGCAACAGCCCCTTGTTCCTTGGCGGCCAAATTCACGAATTCATAAAACATGGCGTCCAAGCGGAGACTCCGACGACCACGCGACCTCCAGCCTCCGTCGCCTCTCGCCGTGCGCGACAGGTCCTTCGGCGGGAGGTCCTGGCTGTCGTGCACTCTGGCGGCGCCCGGGAAGCACTCGGAGGACGCCCCGCCTCGTCTCTCCTCTTGTGGTCCTTTTATTTCTCTTCCTCGTTTCCTCTACTTCCTTCTTCTCGTGCTTCGTCTTCTTCGTCTCCTTCTCCTCAGCCATCTCTCTCTTCTTCTTCTTCCTATCCCTTGTTTACATCTCTCTCTTCTTCTTCCTATTCCTTGTTTACAGCTCTCTCTTCTTCTTCCTCTTCCTCGTCTACATCTCTCTCTCTTCTTCTTCTTCCTCTTCCTCGTCTACATCTCTCTCTCTTCTTCTTCCTCTTCCTCGTCTACATATCTCTCTTCTCTTCCTATTCCTTGTTACATCTCTCTCTTCTCTTCTTCTTCTTCCTCGTCTACATCTCTCTCTTTCTTCTTCCTCTTCCTCGTCTAATCCTCTTCATCCTCGCACCTCCCCTCCTCCCCCCCTTTCTTCCCGTTTCCACTCCTCATCATCCCCCTCCCCCCCCTCCCCTCCCGCCTTCTTTTACAGCCCTTCAACGACAGCCAACCAGCGCCCTTGCACCGTGACGTCACGCCGAGATGGCTAATCAGATAGTCCGTTGCGGAGTGACGTCAGCAGCCCTCGGGGCCAATCAGCGGCCTCCATGGCTTCACCTGCGTCAGAGTCCCTCGGTGACGGCCGCGGCGCCCATTCAGCCGTGAGCGAGGGTGAATTACGGGCGGCTCTCCGCGGCGTTGTTGATTTTGCTTTTGTTTTGGGTTTCGGGCGCTCGAAATGAGGCTGTTGTGGCCGCGGTGTGCATGTCCGGAATTGGGCTGACTGAGCTTTAATAAACGGGAGGGAGAGGGCGGGTAGGGTGGGGAGGAGAAGGAAGGGGGGTGGGGGTCAGATCATATTTTGTTCTCTCTCCAGCGAGGTCAGGTGGGTCGCCCTCTCGACGTCGCGCTCTCTGCCGTTGGGTCGTGGCACCCGGTTGGGGTCTATTTTTCTGTCTTTCTTTTCCTATCTTTCTCTTTCTCTCTCTCTCTCTCTCTTCTCTCTCTCTCTCTCTCTCTCTCTCTCTCTCTCTCTCTCTCTCTCTCTCTCTCTCTCTCTCTCTCTCTCTCTCTCTCTCTCTATCCCCTCCCACTCGCTCCTTCGCTCTTCCCTCCCTCCCCTCCCCCCTTTTCTCCCCTCCCTGTCGCTATTTTTTACTGTCTATCCATTTGTCTATCAGATGCACACAGGTGGTGGAAAAACATGTAAATACAGATGTGGAAGAAGCAGGTGCACGCAGATGGTGGAAGCGCTAGATCCACACAGCTGAAGCAGCCCTATAGTGGAGAGAGAGAGAGGATGAGAGGAGAAGAGAGAGAGACGAGAGAGAGAGAGAGAGCGAGAGAGGGAGAGTAAGAGAGAGAGAAGAGAGAAAGATAAGAAAGAAGAGAGAGAGAGACGGAGGTAAGAGAGAGAGAGAAGAAAGAAAGAAAGAAA